GTAAGCATTTGATAAATGTCAGCCAAGAACAAAACAAAAGAACAAGGCAGCAAAAGAGACACAGCTGGAAACAAACACGCAGAGACAGGAAAAATACCAAGTGGCATCAAGATGTGTCAAATGGAAAGTTAGCCCAACAGAGGAAGTCAAGATGTGTGTTAGAAAGCTGCTAGCATCAGCTGGGACCTCAAACCCTTGGGGAACACAGTGTGGCACTATAGGACCCATTACCCATAAGAGGCCTGTTAGGAAATAAGGATATGCCCTCTATAGGAAGGATAGGATTGAGGTAAAGTTTGGGCTTCCAATTAGGCTTAGGTTCAAAGTCTTTTTTATGAGACTTGAGATGTCTTTGGCAAACATTTGGAATAAACTCTGTACTCCAATTGCTATAAAATAGCACTTGCTCACCTTGGGTAATAGAAGGTCAAGATGGGGTTGGCTGGTACTAAATCATGTCAGAACACTCATTTTGTTCTTCACATTGGCCCCTAACAACCACACATAGTCAGTTTCCCTTCCTGGCCTGTGGGGCACCACAGACTCTGCCTGTGAATTAGGATGTGGCTATTCATTGTCCACTGATGTCAACCACAAAAAACCTCCTATAGTGGTTTGCGCTAAAGGGCTTCCTCCTACAATCTAAAGGCAAAAGGACACCACAGAACCCTTAGGTTTTAACCAATGCCCTCTTTACATACAAGAACCAGAAAGGTATTTAACCAGCCCGAGAAGAGGAATCTATTAGAAAGTCATGGAACCCAAAGGCAAAAAGTGTAGCAGGTTTAGGGTCGAGAACCTGGGCCTATAGAGCTTCTTCCAGAAACCAGGTCAGTGGTCTACTCCCAGAACTGCCATTCCCCTTTCCTCTCCTTCTAGGGGTATGTGTCTCTCATTTCCCCCTCCCTGAAAATCTGCTCATCCTCCTTTCATTCTATGTACAGATGGGATTTCTTGGCATCATTATTCACACAGTACAAATGGCAGCCCCAAAATGGTCACCTGGATCTGCTGGTTTACATATCCTAAATGCCTGGAAAACAGCCTAATTCTTCCTAGGTGGATCAGATTTCCAACTATGGTACAGAAAGCTGTGGCCATGATGTGGGGATCATATAATATAACAATAGATACAGGGACCCAGTCTGTGTTTGTGCGTGTGCATAATGGGGGTTGAGGAAGTTATTAAAGAAAGGGGTCTGGGTTTTGCAGGCTCCCAGACAGGCATGCCTTCTTCTTCCTGAGAGGCTTTCTCCAGTAAGTCAGGAGAAAGGATGAGCAAAGGATGGATTATAGACTCTGTGTATGTATATGTGTGTGTGTGTGTGTGTGTGTGTGTATGAGTGTTTGTGTATGTGTGTGTGTTCATGGTAAACTAGCTTCAAAGCTAAAACTCAGAACAGGAGGTCCTAGATTAAATTGTCATCACCATCAACATTTGGTCTAATTGATGTACTATATACCACACATATTTAAAGTATACTATTTGGTAATTATTGGCATTTGTGAACACCTGTAAAACCATCCCCACAATCAAGATAGTGAACATATCCCTCATTACTATGTTTTCTCAGAACCATTAGGTAATTCATGTTTGCTGCCCTTCCCTTCACCAAACAACTACTGGTCTACTTTCTGTCCCCATTAATTCATTTGCATTTTCTGGCATTTTATATGAATTGAACTATATAGTAAATAATCTTTTTTGTCTGGCTTCTTTTACTCAGCATAATTAGGACACAACCTTATTGCTGCATGTATTAATCATCTTTTTCTGTTTATTGCTGAGTCATATTCCATTGTGTGAATGCTTTTTAAAACATTTTTTAAACAAAACTTTTCAGAGTTCACAGATATTAAAAAAATATTCACACTAAGTACCCACAAAAATATGTGGCAGGGTAGATCTTAGCAAAATTGGAAATAAACACTTCACTCAAGTTGCTACAGGTCGGCAGAGCTATTTATATTAGGTTTATGCAAATGATTAGCAAAGAATATTGATTGCAGCATTTTCTAAGTAGTGTCCCATAACTGCATTCATAATACTCAGCAAGAGACAGTAAGTAACTTGTTCAGGGTCAAAAAGTTTATAAACAGTGGAGCCAGGATTGGAATCCAGGCAGAACTTGCAACAGTCGCCTAACTGGAATCACTGCCGCTGTTCCCTGCTGCCAGTTAACTTCTTGAACCAGATCTAATATCACTTCCTTGCTTGAAATCTGTGGACCACCCTTCCTAGTCCCTCAATTGCCCAAGTTCAGGTTTCAATGCATTTATCTGTCTATTCATTATAAATCAACAGATAACAAGAAGCTCTAACGTTTGTTTCAAAGCAATTTTACATCTCTCAAAAACCCTGGGACATAAGCAGGTGAGTTTCAACAGCTCGTGAAGAGGCAAGACAGCAAATGTTTGTTGCTGGGACCCAATCCCAGGCCCTAACTGCCTTGTTAGACATATGCCTTGAGTGTCAGACACATTTCTTCCTTGTTCATTCAGTGCTCAGAGCTTCCTGCCATGTTTCAAGAATGTCAAATTCTTTCATCTCTCTCTAATTTTGCAACTGCTGTTTCTTCTGCTAGGTATGCCTTTACCCTGCTTAGTGAAGACACAAAAATCCTTCATGATTTAGCTCAAATGTCCCATCTCTTTTTGAACTCCTTTAACAACCTGTAACATCCTCCATTACAGCACTGGCCACATTAGATTAAATGCATTCGCTTGCCTGACTCTCCCAGTAGAGTGTGACCTCCTCTAGAACAGAGATTATGAGTGGTGATCATGGCCTGAGTTAGAAATCTGGGATTGACTAGTGATGGAAGATGGAGAAGAACAAGAAGGAATGTTTGAGAAATGCACGATTAATGGTAAAGGTGTGTTTCTAGTTCTTCCAGGATTCATGCAACACTGAACCAATGTTTATTAAGAACTAGGCATAGTACTAGAGGCAGAGATAAATGGTAGATAGGGCAAAAATAGTTGTGTGTTTACGTTTATGTATGTGAAGAGAGAGAGAAGAGGAGACATAGTGTGTGTGTGTACACATCTAGTACAAAGACAGCAAGTTTGTACATGTTTACATACATAGTGTGTGTACATATAATGTGTATACATATATAGTATATAGTGTGATTATACATGTGTGCATATATACAGCATATGTACACAGGGTATAAATACATCTATGTGTACACATAATTGCTTTTGCGTGCCTACAGCTGCTTACAACTAATAGTTGCACCATAGACTCCACACCTGCCTGTTTATTCTTCTCTTCTTACTCCAGGCGCCACGTTCATCATAATAATATTCTACCATCAATGTAGCATTTTCTCCTCACATCACACTTCCTCTTTTCATGGATTTCACTTTTATAAATCAATACCATCTTTAAATCCCAGTCTGGTCCTGATACAGACAGAGGAGGGGGTAACTTCAGTCAAGAAGCTAAAGGAATACACACGTTGAAGGGAACATGTGAAAACTGGCTGTGAGGCTCCACACGCTGGGGCATTCTGCCAAATATTTGGAGGTCCTAACCATATTTCTTGGGAGTCTCATTTGGCAGACTGTGGAGACCAGGTCTCTAAATGGATGTTTTACCTTTAAACATGACAGTTTGATTCAAAAATAATGAGCCAGGAATTACACACAAAGCTGCCATTCTTTATATTTTGTCGAAATTGTCTTGATTTTTAACTTTACACTATATAAACTATATTCCAAAAACAAAATTAAAATGAATAGGCAGGAGTTAGATGGGGCGCATGATGGGTGATGGATCTGTGGTTAGTAATAAGAATATTTACTGTCATCTGCAAGAACATCTGGGACACCTCCTCCTTTTCCAGATGAGGAACCAGGGATCCAGGGCCAAATTTCACTTTATCTTTCTTTTAGAAAGGGCTGTACCTGCCGCATGTGTGTTTTAATTAAGAAAACTGAATATACAAAAATTCCAGATTTCAGAAGCAATGCTTTGAGGTTCATTTGCAGTAGCTACGGATGGCTTCACGAAACGGGAGCCTCCTCAGAATAGCCTTCTGCATCTATCAGCTGCTCTAGTGTATGCAATTGACTCACCAGTTCTGCAAAACAAGGCACACCTCCGATTCTGTTCCTTCCCCAGTCCTTTCTTACAAATAATAAAATGATTGATTGCTTAGTGTTAATCTCTTTATGAAACTTTACAGAGTAATCCTATCACTTGCCTGTTATGCAGAAATCAGCTGAAACGCATTAGGAGCATTAGCATTTTTTTCCTCCATGAAATTGCTAGAGCACAAGGACAAACAGGCCCCCTTCTCCTGCCTCCTTTTCTCCAACAACCCCTGACAGAACACCCTACGCCCAGATTCCTCTCTTTCCATGGTAAGGCTGATGGAGGCCTAGAAGCACATTTGGTATGCCCACTCCCTCTTCCCTTTTGGTCAGTCAAAATGCCAGTGAAATGGGAGTCAATACTTATTTGATTCATGTTCTTTTTTTTTTTTTCTTTTTTAAAGCACGAATAACATTTCTTTCCAAATAAATATACAGTTCTATAAAAAATATAAAAAGGTACTATAATCTTGGTCACTGTCCAGCAGAAACATGTTTGATTGTTTTTAGAGTCAGAAGTCAACACCACCCATAAAAATACGTTCTTTAAGCCAGGTTTTAGAACACTTTGAAACATAGAAAATTCCTTATTCTACAAACAAGTCCTTTTAGAGATACTCTAAATATGCCAGTGATGAATGTCTAATTCATATCCAGGATTCAAGGCTATTGCGGTGAGCTAGACTAAGAATACCAAGAACACAAAATTGTATTGATACACAAACAGTATGTAAATTACTTTGTCACATTACAAAAATACATCAGGTTTTATCTGTGGTTTTCATCGGTTAATAAGTTAGTTGCCATAAAAAATATCTATAGCTCAGGCGTTTCTCTTGATTCAAGTGTGAAAGGCACAGCAGTCCCACGTCTTAGGGGCACCCACCGCAGCCACATCACCGCGCTGTGACAGATGCAGTCCGCAGCGTTCCCAATATTTTGTCCCAGTGTGTAAAGTACGGAGCGAAGTTGCAGTTAAAGTGAGAGTGATGCAGGTCGTGGTGCACCACACCCCCGTACCACCCGAACGGCACCAGTCTGTGAGTGGACCAAGGGAAGTTGTAGCCGGAGTGGTCCTCCACGGACAGCCAGATGTTGACCACGTGGAAGGTCAGGGAGGTGAGCGGATGGCACCCGAGCAGCGTGACGTTCATCATGTCGAAGAAGCCCAAAGAAAACAGTTCCCAGACGCTCATATACTGCGTGGCCAGCGCGAACGAGGACGGGTTCTGGTGGTGCACCTTGTGGAAGGTGCGGTACAGCCAGGGCACCTTGTGGTGCAGCAGGTGCCACACGAAGAACTCCGTGTCGAAGAGTAGCAGGCAGAACACGATGTGGTGCAGCAGCAGGAGCAGCTCGGGGGCTTCGTGGGGCAGGAGGGCTGGCCTGCTGGCCCAATGCAGCAGCGTCACGGGGAACACAAACATCACATGCTGGTAGAGGGTCTGCCCCAGGCAGGGTAGCAGCTGCCTCGCGGACGGCGAGAAGTCGGGGTGGATCTTGTAGCGCCGCAGGGCGGGCACCCAGGAGCACAGGATGTCCAGGACCACGAAGGGCAGGCAAAAGGCCACGTATGTGGTGATGGAGAAGATGACCGGGAAGAAGGGCGACTGTATGAGGGCCTCCCAGCTCCTCAGGTGGTCCCACAGGGGCTGCAGGAACAGCTGCTCGGAGCTGCAAAGGACCTGGGGGTCGGAGGAGTTCTGGTAGCTCATGACGAGGCTGTGCAGGCAGCTGCGGCTGCTGCTCTCTTCCCACCGACTTTTCACAGGACTCGCGGCCCCGCCCCAAGTGATGTCAGCTGCCTTTCCATGCCTTTCCCGGCGATACGAAGCTTGAATAAGAAAGCAGCCCGGCAGAGTGGCTCTTGATTGCTGTAAATGTGCTCATCTATAACGGCATCTTATCGGGTTTTAAATGTGCGTGTATGCAATGGCACTTAGTACTTTTCACGTAAGTTCTGATTTTTCAGTTGACTACAATTAACACACGATAATGTGTTCATGTACAGATCTACCGTGTGGAGTTTCTATGAGTTTGGCAACTCAGTTCACGTGTGTCATCACAGGTCCCAAACTAGACCGTTTCCATTGCCACCAGAAAGCGCTCCTTTGCAATCAGTGCAGAATAGTTTGTATTTTTTAATGCACACGTATAACTGTATCCATGTGCTTTCATAAAGACGCAAGCATAATCGCATTTTTAAAAACTTTAAAACGACATGCAGTCTGTAGCTCGGGTGTTTTCTGTATGCGAACCCGGTTGCGGTCTGTCCAGCGGCGATCGGGAAACAAGCCCTTCGCACAGGGAACCGCTGGTTCCCGACCGCCGGCGGTGGCGGTCAGCTCAGGAAATCAGACGGGACGGGTGGCCAGATGGGAACCTCCGCCAGCTCCAGCTTCTCCGCAGAGTTTTCCTGGCCGGCGGGCAGCAAGCTGGAGAGACCCCGCACGCAGGCTCTCCTGGAGGGGCCGCAGCCCGGCCGCTGAGCTACCCTCGGCGGCGCGTCCCGGGGCGCTAGGCCAGCGATCGGAGCCGGGAGGCACCACACAGCGGAAAGAGGGCTTCGCGGCAGCCAGGCTCCGCTTTGCCGGGGAAATGCTGGATTTAACGCCCAAATGCTGGATTTAACGCCCAGTCTGCGCCAATCTGGCTAAAAAGCCGTTGTATCTCAATTTGGGGTGGGAACACTTAATTCAGCAAACCACCTGCGTTGTTCATCAAGGGAAAGAGATGTGCGTTACTGAAGCCTCCCAGGAGGCTGTTGAAGGACCAGGTGATGTCGCCACTACCCCGCCCTTCCCCTTGTTGGCTTTACGGGGCCAACTGGCCCTCGCCCTCCGCCTCCCTTCCTTGAGTCCACTCCGGGCCCACAGAGCCGGGCTAGGGGCTCGTCTCTATCCCCTGCGTTTCTCCGCCACCCAACTGGGGTCCTCGGGCCAGGGACCACCCAGCATAAGGAGGTCGGTACAAGGAGAGCTCTTGGGAGACCCTGGGAACAGCACAAAAATCGTCGCGTTCAACGCGGAGTCTGACACATGACACGACACAAGGGTGCCTTAGAGGATAGATGTTTTGGACACCAGCTTTGAAGCCGAGGAGCACTCCTGATTCTTGCTTAGTGTCTTGTATCTATGTGGTTGGGTCCAGCCCTTCACTCCTTGAAGCTTGCATTTTCTTATTCTCCCCGATTCCCCACAAAGGGAAATTGAGAGTATTAAATGGAAAAATAATGTCTACCATGTAAAACCCACTTACTAGGTGCCACAGATTGGCTGAATGTTTTATTTGAATAGATTTTATCCAATCCTCAAAAGAGCTGGCTTCCTCACCCTGCCGAGAAGTAGGATTATTATCACTGCTGTGGGTTTACAGGAGTAAAATCATAGGCCCTAGCACACAAAAAACACACGAAGTAATATGCATGGTATTTTAAATTTGTACTCCACATGTTACCTAAAGAATAACTGAGAAGTTTGAAATTAAAATCAAGTAAGGTTATGTAAAGAGAAATAAAAGATATAAAGCAATCTATTATGAGGAAAGAACAAATACTACAAAAATATGGACCAATATATGGACCTAAAACTATGATAATAGATGGTATATATGCATACATATGATATATATAATAGGCCAATTCATAATATATAATATATAGGATATAGATGCATATAATAGGCTAATTTGTAATTGAGAATCTCCTAACCGGTGTGTGTCCACTAACTGCCACTGATGGAATACTGACATTCCTTAGATGCTCATTCCCAGGAGCCCTCAGCAGTAGCCTCCAGCCCTACAGTAGCCTTTTTATTTAACCCAGTGTGCCATGAAAATGTTATTATATTCTGCTGACATATTTGCTATTGATGAGATAAAGGTCCAGAAGCAGCGTTGAGTTTCTTGACAGCCAATGCAAAAAGGGAACGAGGTTGAATTTTTCTGATGCTGCTGCTTTGATTTCTCTATGATAGCAGAAAATAGGTATAATGTAGGCCCCTGGTTTCTTCCAATTAAACAGCCTGTCCTTGCTAGGCTGTCCACCTCCACCGCACCACCACCCCCCCAACCTCTCCCTTCTCCAGTTCTGTTTTCAGTTCACTTTTAGGGCAACCCAGAAACTTTTCTTTCTCATTCCTGCTAGATGTGGTCTTGTCCTTGATGCAGTGTTTCAGAGAAGAGCGTCCTTCTCACTGCTCCAAAGGGACCATTAGAGCTCACTTTCTCAGCCTTACAATTGGGTTTCTGCTCATAAGTAAAATATCGCTCAAATTTACCCTCAACAGAAGTTAGCCCTCAAATTTCCTTTCAGCACACATTGTCCTTTTCTTGTGGTCTCAGTTATCATGCTTGGGTGCTTTGGTTGCTCTTGCAGATTTTTTTTTTAAGTGAGTGGGATTGGCAGGTTTGCTTAATTTGGATTTAGCTGCTAGATTTGCTGTCAAGACTGTCTCCTTTGAGCCCCCAGCCCCAACCAACCCATTCATTTTCTGCTTTGGTGCATCCATCGTCTATTGCTGTTAGAATAGTGTCCATGTACTGAATACAGAAAGCTGTGGGCAGTAAAACTTGAGAGCTCTGGCTTCAGCCTGCTTTGTCCAGACTCTGCCCGCTGACTTTGTGGCATTTTGAAGAATTGCAACTAAGCTTCTCTGCCATCTCTGCACTTGCAGCTGACCAGGACAGAAATTTTTGTCTAACATACAAATGCAAACATCCCAGGGGAATTGATGAATTACAGTCGTATTAGTTCTCCACGCTAGATCATGTGGAATGCTGAACAATATATCAGGTAACCAAAAACAGTAACACTTAATGGACCAAAATAAAATTGAACACTATCAAGTGCTGACTAAGATGGTATCATTTCTTGAATTTGGCACACTTGCACCTTTGAACAGTTTTCATTTGCACAAGCATGTAATAGCTTGCTAGATGAATAGGTCTTTTTAGAGCACCGGGTGTATCTTCTAGGACTTCTCACAGTGCCAAGCATTGCGTCTTTTATATAATGAGTGTTCAAAAGATATTTGTGGACTCAAGATTCATTTTAAAGGATATTAGCTGTAAGTTGAGGCTAAAAAATAAAATCTTTTTTTTTTTTAATTTTTCTGGAGTACCGCTTGATGTAGTTTGGATCTACTCACCTATAAAGATGGTCTTCCCTAAAACGGTGTGTTTTCTGATTAGAACTTTGCCCACACCATTTCTTGTCCAATTGATAGTTTTCCGCAAAAAGGGGTGTTGTCTGACAGGTAGCATTAGAACTTTGGCCATGCCATCTCTTCTCCAGTTGATCATGGCTTCCTGCGTATCATTTTTGTATTGGCATGGTTTTTCTGGCAGGGTTGGAGGACAGGAATCCTTTATTTTCTGCTTATCACAGGAGTCAAGTCACTTTTCTGAGAGTACAACAATCAAGTCTGTGCACACTAATCACAATCTCAAAGTTATATGGCACCAACTTACCAAAAGACTGTGGATACCGCTCCCCTTCCCCCAGCAAATAGAACATGTAGGTAGCAAAGCCTGTTACCAATCACATCATCCCTTTTTTAAAATGACCTTTATGATTTCTTTTTCTTTCTCAAATTAGGTAAAGCCATGTGGGCATCTGTCTAACCAAAACTGTTCCTGGATATTAGAGATGTATAGTGTTATGTAACAGGGAAGACTCGTAGAGGTGGAATGATCTCGAATATCAAAATCTAATCCTTCATTTTAAGGACTAAAGATTAAAAATGCAGTCTTGGAAAAGTCAAGACAAGACTAACGAGGGTTAAAAAGCAAGTTACAGCCAAACTGAGCAGAAAAGGGCCAGTGTTGGTTTCAAGGTAAGTATCTCTTCAGGAGGAGTTTGGTGTTGGAAGGGGTCATTGAAGCTGCTTTTGTGTGACACCTTACAAAAGACTCAGAAAACATTAATTAGTCATGCCAAAAACAATAGGAGATGCTGATGAAGAATGTGGGGATGTCAGCTTCCTGCAGACACTCCCTTGATGCTCCTATTAGTCCAAATACTTGTGCATATTTGGTTTTAAACACTTCATATTTTGATCCACTTACATGTCGCATATAAGTGGGCGCTTCTACTCACTCATACTGGTGAAACTCTCACCAACCTCTCTGAAACGTTTAAGGCATATAAAATCATCCCCATTAAAAAGGCATTCCCTTGCCTGTAGAGAAACAAATACTCGCCTCACCCGTCAAAGGGGTTATTGCAAATATCAAAGCCTTATGAAAAGTATTATTTTTAGTAATGCTAAGACAATTTGACAGAGAAAGAGTTTTGCTTACTTAATTTGGAATTGAACTTGAAATCTGCACCTAGCACAACATAATGAAGTACTGGTTGAGTAACTTTTAAAAATCAGAATTACTATTCAAAGGTGACTTTTAGTGTCACAACATATCAGGGTGACTTATCTTTTGAAAATCTCTTAATACATTAAAAACTAAATAACAAGAGATCAAATTACAGTATATTTTTAATGTTTACATTTAACAGATTAACACCTTTAATACCCACAAACACAAAATAATCATTATTTGGGGATGTCACTAGTCTAAATTTCAGTCCTATATATGTGTGAGGCTTGAGTTAAAACCTTTTCCTGCCATCCATCCCCCAACCACATCTGAAGTTCTGATCACTCATTTACCTATTAGGCAAATTTTCATTTTCAGTTTACATTTGAGGGGCAGCTATTCCTTGAGAAGGTTTGCCA